TCCTCCGGGGGAGGCGGGGGTGGGGGTTTCTGCAGCAGCCGCGACGGGGGCCCCCCTCTGCAAGGCGGCTGCCAGCTGCAGCAGAAAACAGATAAACAGCAGCAGCGAATGCAACTGCAGCATACCTACTAAAGCAGCACCAGCAGCGTCAGAAGCAGAAGCAGCAGCAGAAGCAAAAGCAGCAGGAGCTGCAGCAGCAGAAGCAGCAGAAGCAGCAGCAGAAGCAGCAGCAGCAGAAGCAGCAGCAGCAGAAGCAGCAGCAGCAGCAGCATACCAAGTGTATCGGCTCAGGTCCTCAGGAAGCGCCACAATAATGTCTGGATGCTGCAAGAAGTAGCAACGCAGCAGCAGCAGCAACAGCAACACAGCAGCAGCAGCAACACAGCAGCAGCAGCAGAGCAGCAACAGCAGCAAACGCATGCAAAATTAAGAGAAGGCGGCCAAAGAAATAAAATAAAAAGCAGCAAAAAACAACAAATAAAATAAAAATAATACATCAAAACAAACAAACAGACAAAATAAATAAATAAATAAATAAATAAATAAATAAATAAATAAATAAATAAATAAATAAATAAATAGAATAAAGAAGAGAAACAGCAAGAAGCAAATGCAGACAAAATATTAAAAACAAACAAAAACAAACGAACGACCAACGAGCTGCTGCTGTCTCCTAATCAAAAGGAAGGGACAGCAGCAACAGCAGCAGCAGCAGCAGCAGCAGCAGCAGCAGCAGCAGCAGTAATAAAGGGAGACCTGCTGCAGCAAAGAGACAAAGTGCTGCTGCAGTAAAGAGACAAATAACCCAGGAGCATTATGTTTGCTGCTGCTAGCAGCAACGTGTCTTCATGCTGCAGCAGCAAACTGCTGCTGCCTCACCTCTACAACTGTTGTTTGCTGCAGACACTTCTCTAAGGGCAAATCAAAAGGCAGCAAATAGGCGGCTACACGAGAAGCAGCATCTGCTGCTGCTGCTGCTGCTGCTGGCTCATGTGGTGCTGCTGCTGCTGCTGCTGCTGCTGCTGGGGCATCCGGCGGCTGCAACGCGACACCAGCGTGTGCTGCTGTTATAGGCAGCAAAAAGAGAAATCCTTTTTTTGCTGCTGCTGCTCCTCCTGCTGCTTCCGTTGCTGCTGCTGATTCCGCTGCTGCTGGAGTTGCAGTTGCTGTTGCTTCTGCTGCTGCTGCTGTTGCTTCTGCTGCTGCTGTTGCTGCTGCAGGCAGCAACGGTCCAAGGGCCCCACGCTGCAGCAGCTGATTCTCCTTTGGGGTTTCTGCTTCGTCTCCCAATCGCCTCTTAACTCGCTGCTGCCGTTGCTGCTGCTGCTGCAGCAACTTGCTGCAGTGCTGCTGCAGCAACAGCGCATGCTCCTGCAGCGGCTTGTCCTCTCGCAGCATTAAAGACAACCTGCCAGCAGCAGCAGCAGGAAGGCGGAAGCAGACATCCCAGCATATTACCCCTTCAGCTCCTCGCTTCTGCTGCTGCTGTTGCTGCTGTTGCTGCTGCTGTTGCGGCGGCTGCTGCGGCTGCTGCGGCTGCTGCTGCGTCTCCTCATCAGCACTTCCATGCTCCTCATTTGGATGCTGCGACTGCTGCTGCTGCTGCAGGTCGATGCCCTGGGCATCTTCTTGCTGCAGATGCTGCTGCACTTGTTCACTCACTTGCTGCTGCTGCTGCTGCCTGTCTCCTTCTTGATCATCTTCCTGCAGCGCCTGCTGCTGATCCTGCTGCTGCTGCTGCTGCTGCTCGTTCTCCTGCAGCTGCCCTTCCTGTTTCTGCTGCTCCTGCTCTTGCTGCTGCTGCTGCTCTTGCTCCCCCTTCTGGTGCTGCTCTTGCGGCTGCTGCTCTTGCTGCTGCCCTTGCTGCTGCTGCTGCTGCTGCTGCTGCTGCTTGAGCTTATATGCAGATAAGATTCTGCTTCTGTTTTGAAGTCTGCGAGAGTGCGTCGGAGGTAAAAACAAAAAGTCGATGCCCCGCCGCAAACAAATACTCCGCAGCTGAGCCGGGTGAGCCCTGAAACACAAACCCTAAACCCTAAACCCTAAACCCTAAACCCTAAACCCTAAAGGGTATGTAGGCGTTGAGTATCCCTTTTTTTCTGTAGTCTAAACCGCGCTGTTTGCTGCTTTATTAGCTGAGGTATCGTGGCCTTAGGGTTTAGGGTTTAGGGTTTAGGGTTTAGGGTTTAGGGTTTAGGGTTTAGGGTTTACCCTTTTCTGCGTCTGTTTTCAAAGTGAGTTGTTCGTTGTCTCTGTGCTGCTTCGACTGCCTTTGCTGCTGAATCTAAGAAATTTATATCAGCAGCAAATGCTGCAGCACTCATCTCTCTAAGAGACACATACTGCACTCGCAGCGGCACTCGAGCAGCAGGAATAATACCTGCTGCTGCTGCTGCTGCTGCTGCTTCTGAGGGGGATGTTGTTGCTGCTGCTGCAGCGTCGGATGTAGCTGCTGCTGCGCTTGTTGCAGCTGACGAGGCGCTGGAGTTCCCCGATGCAGCAGCAGCAGCAGCTGCTGCTGCTGCTGCTGCTGTTGCTGCTGCTGCTGCTGCTTCTCCCTCTGCATGAGCCTGCAGCGGGTTTTCGCTGCGAGTATGAATAAGGTGCTGCTGCAGCAGCAAATGCTTCCTGTAGCAGCAGAGGCAGCAAGTGCGGATACGGCACTGAGGGCATCGATATGGAGGAGAAGGTTTGCTGCAGATAAAGCACAGTCGCGCTGCTGCTGCCCCTGCTGCTGCTGCTGCTGCTGGTGCTGCTGCTGCTTCTGGTGCTGCTGCAGGCCCTGCTGCTCCGGCAGCAGCAGCAGCAGATAATGCAACTTCTGGAGGACCTGAAGGTGCTGCTGTTGCAACAGAGGGGGGTTGTGCTGCTGCTGCTGCAGATCCTACAGCGAGAGTTGCTGTTCCTGCAGCAGCTGCAGCTACAGCTGTTGCTGCTGCGTTTGGAGCTGCATCACCTGCTGCGGCTGCTGCTGCTGCTGCTGCTGAGAGGACCGGCAGAACAGCCGGGGCCACCGCAGGAGTCGCCATTCACGAGGATTCCTGCTGCTGCTGCTGCTGCTGCTGTTGCTGCTGCTGCTGCGGCTGCGGCTGTTTTTGGTCGTGCTAGTGCAGCTGTTTCAGTTGCTGCTGCAGCAGCAGCTGCTGCTGCTGCTCCTGCAGCTGCAGCAAGCCACAGTCGCTGCTGCCAGACCGGCAAGTGATTTCCTTATTAACAGTCTTGCTGCTGCTGCTGCTGCTGCTGCTAGTTGTGCTGCTGCAATTTCTTGTGGATCTTATGCGCTGCTGCTGTAGCTGCATCAACACCAACAGCAGCAGCAGCAGTAGCAGCGACCACAGCAACAACAGCAGCAGCAGCAGCAGCAGCAGCAGCGCCGCTACCCGTGCAGCGGTAGGTTAGTCTCGAGGCTGTCGAGAAGCCAACCAAACCCTAAACCCTAAACCCTAAACCCTAAACCCTAAACCCTAAACCCTACTTTTAGCCCCCATATCTTGAGCCTAAAGCATTTTAATCTCATTAAAAACAATTCCTTTTTTCGTGTTCGCTTTGCTGCTGCTATTGCTGCAGCAGCAGCAGCAGCAGCAGCAGCTGGAGAAGGCCGAGGGGCCCACAGGCAGCAGCAGCGTCGCCCCACACTTCGAAGATCCACCTGTCTGTACACCTGAAATAGATATTTCTTTTTATATTTCGCTTTAAATAAATTTATTTATCTGAAAAAGAAGCAAAAACTGCTAGCCGCAGCTAAAGCCCTTGCTGAGACCTGCCGTTGTACGGATCCTAGGGTTTAGGGTTTAGGGTTTAGGGTTTAGGGTTTAGGGTTAGAGTATTGTTCTGCTGCTTACTCTCCTTTGGGTGACGCACATATCGATGCCTTCTGCAGCAGAAGCCCCCTCGGGGCCAGCAGCTGCGTCGGCAGCAACAACAGCAGCAGCAGCAGCAGCAACAGCAACTACAGCAGCTGCAGCAGCAGCAGCAGCTGCTGCTGCAGGAGCAACAGGGGGACCGCAGCAGCAGCGAGTAGACCCTAAGGCGCATGCAGATTGGGAGCAGCAGATGCCGCTTCGAAGACAAGAGGGCAGCAGCAGAAGCTGCTGCAGCAGCAGAAGCTGCAGCAGAAATAGCAGCAGCGGCAGCGGCAGCGGCAGCGGCAGCAGCAGCAACGATGACGCTTCAAGTGTATGTACACTTGAGGATGATGAGTCTCAAGAAGAAAGCCCCCCTGCCCGCTGTCTTCTCTGTCCCTTCACCTGCAGCAGCAGCAGCAGCAGCAGCAGCAGCAGCAGGAAGACGACGCCTGCTGCTGTCGTGCTGCAGCACATGCGAGAGGCCCACGGTCTCGACTTAGCAGCAAACACCAATTGGCTGCTCCCCAGAAAGCAGCAGCAGCAGCAGCAGCAGCAGCAGCAGCAGCAGCAGCAGGACCTGCCTCCCCTCAACCACTACACGCGCATTGCATTGGTTTCTTTTCTACGGCAGAAGCAGAAGGAGCACGAGCAGCAGCAGCAGCAGCAGCAGGAGCAGCAGCAGGAGCAGCAGCAGGAGTACAGCACCGTTGTTGAAGCCTTGCGAGGCCTGACTGCTGCTGCTGCTGTTTTTGCTGCACCTGAAGAGCTGCTGCGCGCAGCAGATCCTGAAGACCCTCTACTATGGGATGTAGAAGACTGCAGCAGCGACGAAGAACCTGCTGCTGCTGCTGCAGCGGGTGCTGCTGCTGCTGCTGCTGGAGCAGCAGCAGCGGCAGGTGGAGGGTTTGCTCCTCTTATTACACCCCACAACACAGAAGTATACGAAAGGGTGTTGCAGCATCGCATGGCTGCTGCAGGATCTCCTGCTGCTGCTGCTGCTAGCAGCAGCAGCAGCAACAACAGCAGCAGTAACAGCTACTTCGGCTCAGCACCAACAGCAGCAGCAGCAGCAGCAGACTCAGTGAAGAGAGAAGCAGCAGAAACAGCAGCACCAGCAACAGACTCCATGAAGAGAGAAGCAGCAACAGCAACAGC